AAACCGACTAATTTGGTTTTGGTTTCGAGTTGAGGTTGAAACCAATCCAAACCGAATCGCGCCCAGCCCTAATTCTTATCTTCAACATTCTATTAAAAGTAATTGGCACAATACTCCCTAACGTTTAGCTATTTTGTGGAATACCCCATAGCCTTTGTGTGCAATATTTAATTTTAATCTAAACGCTATGGCGACCCACTATTCATGACTTCATGTACTCGTAAACCAATAGCCATTGTCTTCTCTGTGTGCAATATCCTTTTAGCTCGACCAAGTTCACATGGTGCTATAGCCGTTGTTTTCTTAATGGGTAAATTAGGCTCATTACAGTCCAAAACTAATAAATTAGAAAAATAGAATGCATTATAAATAAAGAGTAGAAAATACATTACATTTCTAAAAATCTCTGAGGGGTAAAATTGTAGAGTTCATTCGACACAAATAGAAATACTAAATTCTTTGGACAATTGGGTAATTTTGGGGCAATTCTTGAACGAAGATCTTTTCTTGCACTATAAATCCTCAATTTTTGATAAATCTAACGTTGATATTTGGTCGATTTCATCTATGGATCGAGCATGTAAATTAGTATCATGAATTGAAGTCATGCAAGAGAAATTATGGCAGTATAGAAGGAACTTCAAACTTGAAAAATTACACTCGTGTGAGTTTCAAGGTAAAATTGAATAAATTTTATTTATGAGGCTGAACTTTGAATTTGAGTAGTTTCTTATATTTGAAGTAGGTTTGGGCGTAGATTGTGATAAGTTTATGTATATATGCATAAGAAATTGAGTTCTAGGGATGGAGAACATGCAATTGATTTCTGCACAGGAGCATGATAAAGAGGCGCAGAGGTTGTTGAAGTATGGTCTATGTCTCCTTAGTCTTGCAATATTCGGAATTCTTGGGGTATTATACTAAACCTTGTACATTTTCTACTTTCTAGCATGTATCATTTGACCTTGAAATCTACAAAATGGATATTTGGCATCTTAAAATTCTATAAATGCATAATAGTGTATTAACTAGGAGTTAATTGACTTCAAATACTATTGTATAATTGGATAATTTGTATATCATTTTGTTTAAAGTTCGCCGCCACCTCATGAGTATGAGTGGGGTACATAACAAAGTGTAAAATCGGTAGCAGGAATAAGTTTGTGAATGGTACTCGTACTTCTTTCTCGAATCTTGAATTAAGACGATCCCAGATCATAAACAAGAGAGTGTACTCTTATTGCTTTGCCTTAATCAAATTTTTAGATTCTTTGGATGAATTGGTGAAACCGTAAAGATATAATAACAAATGATTTTCCTTTATTTCTTTTGGCTTCTTTACATAATGCTCTGATCTCTGCTCCTTGTAGTATTCAAGGGTTTTTTATTACCTTGCTTCTTACCTATGAATCCCAAAAATTCCTCATCTACATCTGGTAGTTTTGTGTCTGTTGCAATAACATCAACTGACAGTGGCTTGAAAATGATTTTTTTTCCTGATATCTTCCATCTGGTCACACTAGAATTCATTGAAATTACGGTTCCTAAAGCTTTTCTTGTAATAGTTTTGCAGGTTCTGATCATGTATGGTCTCGAAAAATTATTTGGATCTGAGGTAATCGGTGCCACAAGTGACGAAAATTATATGTACCGTGATCTTCCCTCTCTCTCTCTCTCTCTCTCTTGCATGCGCGCACACAATTGGTGCCCCCGCCAATTAAAAAAAACTTGCCCTTATGCTCATGTTGAACCTAATCACCTGCACATGGACTCAACATTCTTGCAGTCATGGGTGTTTGGAATGTAATATGTACAATGTCGTAAAATCCATTATAGAGATAGATAGTGTTCATCTGGATACTACTTGAATTTGTTGCAAGGTTGAATATGAAGTGCATGTTAGGTATCCAATATTAGATGGTATTGGAATTACAATGTATACGGTTCCAGTTTCTTTTCCATTCTTCATACTGTACAGTGCTATTTAATCCATCTTACAAAACATGTGAGAATAATAGTACAAATGAGAATCGTTACTTGAATAGTATGAAGTTATTGCTCCTATTTGTTGTTGTTCTCTCTCAGATAATCTTGCAAATTATGTGCATTGTTTCAGGTTGGTTTATTCTTGACGGGTTGGTTTGGTGTTGTTTTCGAAGATGATATTATGAAAGTTTCTAACGAGTTGGCTATTGGATTGTCGATTGGTTTCTTAGGAAGTCTTACAACATTCAGTGGCTGGAATCAGAAAATGCTGGACCTAAGCCATGAAGGACGTTGAGTGTTTGCTTTTCTTGGCATTCTTATAGGTACTTTGTTGTGTCAAAATCGACTTTATAATTACGCAAGGACAAATGGAAGAATTGGTTTCCTGTTTGACCATGAACATTCCCCCGGTCAAGTCAACATACTAGCGTCTAAACATAAGGGCACAACTGATACGTTCGTAGTTATTGAATGCATGCACTATTGTCATTTCTTATGCCCATGCACAGGCTAATTAGTTCACTAGAATGATTGTATAATTTATTGCGTATTACAGAGATATCATGCATCCTATATATCATGTCCATATAAACATACTAAGCGTGTTAAACTGTAAAATCATGTCTTTAATAGACGTGCTTGCTTTATTAGCACATAATGCCATTAAATGATGTGCTGTATTTTGCTTTCACTTAACCCAAATTTACATTGCAGGCTTGTTACTAGTTGCCTCTTCAATTGTATTTGGAATTCATACTGCCAATGGCTTTAAACGGCTCCTCAAAAGGTTGGTTACAAGTTCTAATAGCGCCGTCTCCAGGTGCACAAGTATTCATGAACGTCACTGCCTATTGACAGGCCTGGTGGTGATGTTATCGATTCTCGGAGTATTATTGGGCATGTTCGGGGATTTTAGCAAAGAGTGTATTCAACAATGACAGCGTCAAAGCTCAGCTATTCTTGGCTTGTATAATGGGACCTCTTGGCATCTGGATGGTTCTTAGCTCTTTTTAATGGACGAGGTGGATTGTTAAATTTTTTTCCTTTTGGGACTCTCACTGCCAACGTTATTGCTGCTTGTATTATGGCTGCATTGGCAACACTAAAGAAAGCGGTAAGATTCTTACTGGGAGTGCATTTTGGGTATGTAATCCAAGACTCTAGCAGATAGTATAATATACAAATTCCACTTTATTTTTTTCGTTAATAATGTTTAGTGGTGTCTAATTCACCTCTATTGGATATCAAAAATCCAACAAATCTCCACATTGATCCCAATAAATCTGCAAGCAATCAAAACACACAGTTTATACTTGCACGATCAAGTTAACCAATAAAAATGGCATCACAGACCTTACCTCGTGTTTCGCACCCGAAATACATACCATACCTGCTTCATATACTTACCAGGGCTAAGGTCAAGAACACCCAAGTAGAAACAAGTAATCACAGTAATCAATCAAGAGCAAATAAACATGCGATGGAGATATCATATAAGATAACACAGATCTTTTCAAATATGTTCACATAGAACAACAGATTAACACCAAGTCAATCAACAGGCCAACACATACGCAACAAATGCATAAATGACCTCACGAAGAAGATCTCACCACACTTATCATATCTCATTCCGTGTTGCTCACTCCTCCAGAAGAT